TCATTGGAACAGGGTAGAAAGCCCAGAGATAAACCCATGCACATATGGTTACCTTATTTTTGATAAAGGAGGCAAGAATATACAATGGAGAAAAGACAGCCTCTTCAATAAGTGGTTCTGGGAAAACTGTACAGCTACACGTGAAAGAATGAAATTAGAACACTTCCTAACACCATACACAAAAATAAACTCAAAATGGACTAAAGACCTAAAGGTAAGGCCAGACACTGTAAAACTCTTAAAGAAAAACATAGGCAGAGCACTCTGACATAAATCACAGCAAGATCCTTTTTGACCCACCTCCTAGAGAAATGGAGATAAAAATAAACAAATGGAACCTATTGAAACTTAAAAGCTTTTGAACAGCAAAGGAAACCATAAACGACGAAAAGACAGCCCTCAGAATGGGGGAAAATATATGCAAACGAAGCAACTGACAAAGGATTAATCTTCAAAATAAACAAGCAGCTCATGCAGCTCAATATCAAAAAAACTAACAACCCAATCCAAAAATGGGCAGAAGACCTAAGTAGACATTTCTCCAAAGAAAGTATATAGATTGCCAACAAACACATAAAAGGATGCTCAGCATCACTAATCATTAGAGATATGCAAATCAAAACTACAATGAGGTATCACCTCACCACCTCACACCAGTCAGAATGCCATCATCAAAAAATCTCCAAACAATAAATGCTGGAGAGGGTGTGGAGAAAAGCGAACGCTCTTGCACTGTTGGTGGGAATGTAAATTGATACAGCCACTATGGAGAGCAGTTTGGAGGTTCCTTAAAAAACTACAAATAGAACTACCATATGACCCAGCAATCCCACTACTGGGAATATACCCTGGGAAAACCATAATTCAAAGAGTCATGTACCACGTGTTCATTGCAGTACTCTTTACAATAGCCAGGACATGGAAGCAACCTGTGTCTATTGACAGGTGAATGGATAAAGAAGTTGTGGCACATATATACAATGGAATATTACTCAGCCATAAAAAGAAACAAAGTTGAGTTATTTGTAGTGAGGTGATTGGACCTAGAATCTGTCATACAGAGTGAAATCAAGAAGAGAAAAACAAATATAGTAACACAAATATATGGAATCTAAAAAAAAAAAGGTTCTGATGAGCCTAGGGGCAGAACAGGAATAACGACACAGACATAGTGAATGGACTTGAGGACACAGGGAGGGGGAAGGGTAAGTTGGACAAAATGAGAGAGTAGCATTGACATATATACACTGCTAACTGTAAAATAGATAGCTAGTCGGAAGCAGCTGTAAAGCACAGGGAGGTCAGCTCCGTACTTTGTGACCACCTAGAGGGGTCAGATAGGGAGAGTGGGAGGGAGACACATTTCCATCATCGCAGAAAGTTCTGGACAACACCACACTACATCTTTATGATGGAAAGCTTCTCACTTTTCCATAGCATCATAAAAGAGCTCTCTGTGGTTGGATGGTAATGATGGTAGCACAACAGTGTGAATGTACTTAATGCCAATGAACTGCACACTTAAAGAGAGTTAAGATGGTAAATTTTATGTTATTTATTTTACCCCCTCTCCCCCACTGCAAAAGAGCAGTTCTCTCAGTTACACTCTCTCCTTATATTCCAAGGTGTCGCACAAATTGCAGCTGGTTACTAAATTGGACCTCCTTCAAGTGTGGGCTCACCAGAACTAAGAATTTGTTTACTTATTTTAATTAAATATTTATTTATTTAGTTTTGGCTGCATCAGGTCTTTCGTTGTGGCACGAGTGCTCTTCGTTTCGGCATGCAGGTTTCTCTCTAGTTGTGGCGCACAGGCTTCAGAGCACATGGGCTCAGTAGTTGTGGTGCATGGGCTCTCTAATTGTGGCTTGCAGGCTCCAGAGTGCATGGGCTCTGTAGTTGCAGCACGCAGGCTCTTTAGTTGTGGTGTGCAGGCTTAGTTGCCCTGTGGCATGTGGGATCTTAGTTCCCCAACCAGGGATCGAACCTGCGTCCCCTGAATTGCAAGGGAGATTCTCAGCCACTGGACCACCAGTGAAGTCCCAAAGCCAAAAATTTATAAGTGGTTGTAAGCATATGAAAAAAACCCAATGCCTGCTGTCCATTTCTACTGCCCATGCTTTGGCTTTGAGTTTTTACATATTCTTGGTTGGATCCATCCACCTTTTATTTCAACAGCATTGTTATTAGACCCTTCTCAAATCTCCCCACACCACACAGTCCTCTCCTTCAGAGATATGTTAATCCCTCAGCACTAATATCAGTGCCACCATTACATCTTGTTGACTCTGTATACATGGGAATAGGGATGGGCAACGATCGATCAATACTGAATAAGCTGAAATAAGATGGGGTAGAGGGACACACCAAAAAAAAAAATCCCATTCTTTAGAAATTAAAATTAGAAGTGGTAAATCAGTTTGCTAGAAAGAACAAGAGCAGCAAAAACCTTGTGTGTGTCTGTGTGTTTGGGTGTGTGTGCATGTGTGTGTTGGCAGGGGATGAGGGGTCGACAAAGGCCCCAAAGTAACAATAACTCAAAATCTCTGTAATGCAGTCTGCAATTGTGCTTAATCAACTACAAACCTCAGTGCTCCCTCAGTTATGAAGTCTTACTCCAAAGTCCTGCTTTAAACCTATCAGGGGGTTTGCATATAGTGTATAGTCCCCACTTTGGGCAATTTGATATATGCAGTGACTTCTAGGAACACAACTCCCCACATAAACAATGCCTACCCACCCATAGGTCCAAGAATAAAACCAGAACCATCTGAATCAGAGCTAACTTTATCACTATAATTTCATCTTGTGTTTCAATTTAGAATTTTCTTTTATATACAGTGAAATGCTAACAACTTTGTCAACAATGTTTAGGTCATATACACTGAGTTTTCTGTGGTTCTGCTAAAATACCCACACTTTTCCCCAGTGCTGTGGGTCAGCAGTCTATAAACATGGAACAACCTGCCTTTGAAAGAAGCCACCTCTGCTGAAACGGCATCATGTGTGCGATGTGGGCCTGAGTGTAACCATCTGGCAACCCACTCAGATTCACTGTTGGATGGATGCTGAGCCTACCAGCTCTCATTCCATCCTCAAATCTTAAACCTAAGAGCTACTAGCAGATTTCCAGTCAGGGCAAAGTTCCTGTTAAATATCTGTTAAGACAAAGGGGGATGAACTTAGAGGCTTTTTTTTTTTTTTCCCTAAAGGAGAATTCAAGAAAAGAATTCAAGATACACATCACCGCATAGGTCTTCTCTTATGTGCTGTACACAGTGAGTCAATACACCACGCACAAGCTCTGGCATCAGACAGACAAATTTCATATCTTGGCTCCAGCAACTACTAGCTGTATAACTTTTAAGAATTCACTTAACCTCTGAGACTCAATTTTCACATTTTATAAGATGGAAATAACAGTAACAATACCTTAGTTCTATGGTTGTAGTAAGATGACATATGTAAAAGACTGACAACATATCCAGCAAAAAAGGCTTTTAGAAACTTCTCTGCACAACTGCCACTGTCCAGTCCAACCAACCGCCTCTCCAGTTTTGCTGTATATTCAGCACTCAACTCAGCTCACATAGTCTGTCCTCAGTTAAGTGGTAGCTATTATTAACTACACTCCTCATCCAAACCAGCTCTATCCCCTGACCTCACCTCTCCTAGTTTGCAGATTCACTGACCCCATCTACTCACTAATTATGGCATCTCAGAGAACACTCTACAGCCAGCCAATGCCCCCTTCTTCTCTCCAAGTGGCACCCTGACCCCTCCCTCACCCCGCATAGCTGATTCATCAGTGCCTGCTAATACTGGGCCAGTTCTATGCAAGTCTAGACTAATGACCTGTGCTAAAATGACATTAGAGCATGTGTTCATACACATACGTTCCAGAAAGATTTGTTCAAGGGCTCACTGTTCATCATTTTTAGAAAAATATTTCACTAAGAAATTCTAAACTACCTTCCTTAGGACTTTCAAAAGTATAAAACAAGGTGAGGAAATTCCAGGCCAGAGACCAGAACTGACATATGGCTTAAATTTCATGTAATCCAGGCCACAGCTTCTAAAACCACATGGTTGGTGCTTTAAAATCAACATATCCAATTATGAATGTATCTGAAAGATCTCTTGGCATCCTTCCAGAACCATCCTCCACCCTTAGCATCTGATTCTGACATCACTTCTCAAATTAGGTGTTGTGAGTAATAAAAAGAAATGTTTCTCTTTTTTTTAAATAGATCTTTATTGGAGTATAATTGCTTCACAATACTGTGTAGTTTCTGTTGCACAACAAAGTGAACCAGCCAAATGCATACACATGTACCCATATTTCCTCCCTCTTGAGCCTCCCTTCCATCCTCCCTATCCCACCTCTCTAGGTCATCGCAAAGCACCGAGCCGATCTCCCTGTGCTATGCTGCTGCTTCCCACCAGCCAACTATTTTACATTCGGTAGTGTATATATGTCGATGCTACTCTCACTTCGCCCCAGCTTCACCCTCCCACCCCATGTCCTCAAGTCCATTCTCTATATCTATGTCTTTATTCCTGCCCTGCAACTAGGTTCATCAGTACCTTTTTTTTTTTTTTTAAGATTCCATATATATGCGTTAGCATACAGTATTTGTTTTTCTCTTTCTGACTACTTCACTCTGTATGACAGACTCTACGTCCATTCACCTCACTACAACTAACTCAGTTTTGAAGAAATCAGTTTCTAATTAGTGGTTTTGATGATGGTGGCTGTGATGGTAGGTGGCTTTGCTGTAGGTAGGAAAGATATTGCCCAGTTGTCTTTACACAGCCCTGTATCTTGCTAATTCAGGCCACCCACACTTGTCAGCTTGAAGGTCCTCCCACCATCCACTTGACTCTAAAAGAAGTCTGGGGCGTTTGTGATCCTGCTCCTGTGGCGATGCCGGTTCACCCAGAACATTGGCGCTGGGAGGCCAGTCCTGAGGTCAGGTGGTATTACCTCCATTTTACAGATGCAGAAACGTGGCCAGAGTTGCACATGCCACCAGACTAGATCCGTCGATCAAAACAGAAACCTAGCTCAGCGAATCCTGCAAGAGAAAGTGGATGTTTTCTACAATGGTGAAAACAGTCCTGTTTACAAAGAAAAACAAGAGGCAGAGAAGAGAAAGCAAGCAAGGAAAAAAAGAGCAAAGGAAACCCTAGAGAAAAAGAAAGTCCTGAAAGAACAATGGGAATCAAGTAAAAATGTGCCCGGAGAAAGAACTGCAGATTCTGAGCAAAAGAACCTGCCAGGTGCCTCCAGGGATGGCAGCTGTGAGCTCCACCACCAGCGCAGCTGTGATGGGCTCCAAAGACAGCAAAGTTTCTAAACAGCAGACAAACTGTAGTGAATAGCGATGCACACTTTGAGAGTAAAACTATAAAAAAAAAAAAGTCTGAGCCATGTTGATTCACATTTCCATTCTGCCCACTGTGACCAAGAGACAGATGCTGAATATTAGGTCCACATAATGAGACAGAGTCCTTGCACCAGTGCCATGGGCAGCTGTACCAAAGACCCACTAGAGGCTGAGCCAAGTCCTTCTGAATTAGTATATTCATCTTGCCCAGCTGTAGACTCAGGGCTGGGTAAGGGGGGTAAGCTTTATGCCATACCCAAGGATCAAGCCACAGAAAAGCAGATATAGCAAGTGGAAATAAGGAAGCTGATCCCAGTGGGTTCAACAGGAGTCAGGGTCTATGTCAAAGCAGGCAATGAGAATGCACATTTCAAGTCAGTCATATCTGTGGTATGGAACCAAGGAGGAGGTTGTTTCCAGAATAGAACTTGTTGGACCAAGAATCATTCGTGGTCCTTTCAAAGGCACCAGGAGCTGAGATAGGTGTATGAAGAACAGGGACTGGATAGATATCAAATGTGATTCAGGTGAAAGGAAAGCAGGCTTTAAAAACTACTACTTTAAATAGTAATGTGTAAACTATTTAGAAATACAAGACACTAAGAATACCACACATTAAAGCCCAAGAAGAACAGGCAAAGCAATGGACCCAGGAAGATGTTTGCCTTATATGCTTTTATTAGAAAAAATGTTTAAAGATTGAAGAATAAAGTAATTAAATATTCAACTAACAAGCTTAAATATGATTTAAAAAAAAACAACAACAGAAGAAAGGGACTGTAAAATAAAGGAGAAATTAATACAATCAAAAACAAAACAAATGGGCTTCCCTGGTGGTACAGTGGTTAAGAATCCACCTGCCAATGCAGGGGACACGAGTTCGAGCCCTGGTCTGGGAAGATCCCACATGCTGAGGAGCAGCTAAGCCCATGCACCACAACTACTGAGCCTGCACCCTAGAGCCCGCGAGCCACAACTACTGAGCCCATGTGCCACAACGAACAGCCCCCACTTGTTGCAACTAGAGAAAGCCCATGCGCAGGAACAAAGACCCAATGCAGCCAAAAATAAATAAATAAATACATGTATAAAAACAAAAAAAAACAAAGGAGGAGATGGCAATCTCATCACAAGCAAGTCACATCATAAGGGGGAAGAAAGATCAAATATAAACATCATTTATTAAGCACCTCCTAGCTCCAAGTACTGTATGCCAGGTGCTAGGGACAATATTGAAAAGGATCAACATATGCTGGCTAGATGCAAACCACAGATGGTCTAGAAAGGTTTATTAGAAGGAAAACTCAGGACATTAGTATTTCTAGCTTCCATTTTTAATCTTTATAGTTTGACTTTGTTCTTACTGGAAAGTAAAAATTAACATTTATTTGTATCACTAATATAAATTTTTGATGATCTGGATTTTTCCCTCTTTTAGAATACTTATAGTGAATAGTTACAGTGAAAAAAATCCATGTATTTCTTACAGTTTCAAACCTTGTTTATTTCTCTGTTCCTTTAGTTTTCTTTTTTATCAGTGCTTCTGCTTCCTCTGCCACACTCTTATCTGTAGTTTAAGCTTATGGGTATTAATTTACAAAGGATGCCCACACCTCTTAACTGTAAAAAAGTTAACGTAGGACCAATATACCCACTTACCTGGAGTATAGAGTATCATGTAAATGGTGGTGAAAGCATCAGGTATATGCTGTTGCTTTATCAGACATACTAAATAATGCACAACTACTGCAAAATATCAATTTCATTCTGTCTTTAGTTACTTGAGATTATGCCACATGCATTATCTTATCTACAACTGAAGGTAGTACTTATACTCAAAGCCATTGCTAAAGACTGAATTAAATTTCCTTGGAAGTAATATACATGTAGCTTATCTACGTCCGTCTTTTGTATTTTCCATCTTAAGTGTCTTCAAAATGTAAAAGCAATTTAATTTGCTGCTTCCTTTCTATTAGCCAGTTTAATCGATCAAGCCAAGTGTAAAATGGCAAAAAAACTGTTTTCACTTTGCCATTTTCCCAAACACATGAAACTTAAGAACTCCTTGATATTAATTAAGATGACATATCACCAAGGGGACTGAATCACCTCTCTTCTATTACACTGGTCCACTTCCCACAATATTGTGTAATTGGGAACAAGAGACAAGGTGATGCATTTATATCAGCACTTACTGAAATACTAATTAAACGCTTTAATAATCCAACAGTTACATGAACGTAGTCCAGTGCAACCAAATTATTCCCATGCAGTTACTGTTTTATCAGAAACAAGTTAGTATAAAAATGCTTTTGAACTCCAAAAGGTATACTCCATTTCTCATTACTATGACTTATAGCAGTAATATGTATCTGCTGGAAATGCCTGAAAGAACTGTAGGATTTGGAATTTATTTTCATGATCACCACATCTATTTTGCTTCTCTTACACAATATTTATTCTTTCAATAATAATCACTGAGCACCTGTGTACCAGGCATGAAAGAAGGCAAAATAATGTATAGAAATGTTCAGAAGAGACACAAGGATAATTCAAAAACACAGCAAATTCCTAAAGGCCATCTATATTTGTCTTTGATTAGGCTTTTGTTATTGTCAAATTATATTTAAATACCAGATCATTACTTGCCATTTGTGACAACAGGGATGGTTCTAGAGGGTATCATGCTTAGTGAAATAAGTCAGACAGAAAGACAAATACCATATGATCTTACTTATATGTGGAATCTAAAAAACAACAGAAATAAACAAAACAAAGTGAAAACAGACTCACAGATACAGAGAACAAACTGGTGGTTGCCAGAGGGGAAGAGGCTGAAGGGTTGGGCAAAATAGGTGAATGAGGTTTAAGAGGTACAAACTTCCAGTTATAAAATAAATAAGCCAAGGGGATGTAATATACAGCGTAAGGAATATGGTCAATAATGGTGTAATAACTTTGTATGGGAACAGATGATTACTAAACTTATTGTGGTGACCATTCATAATGTATGTAGATATCTAATCAGTATGTAGTACACCTGCAACTAACATAATATTATACATCAACTTATGTTTCAATAAAAAAAAAAACCCAGATCATGATACTTTCAAATGGATCCTGAACAGTTTGCGATGCTATGAGCATAAGTTCAGACATCATAAACACCTAATTTGTGTTAAATCTTACGTTAGTATAATAATAGTGTAGATTAGTAAAAACCACCTGACGTTTTATAGATCAATCAATAGAGAACGAATTAAAAACAGCAAAGAATTATATTTCTTCTGCTTTCTTTGGCTGTCATTTATTCTAATTCTGTTTATTCTATTTGTATTTATAGTTTTAGCTCTTACATATTGTTGTTGATCCATTTTGAGTTAATTTTCATATTTTTTGGCAGCTACTATGTAAAATAGTATGGTGGTTCCTCAAAAAACTGAAAATAAAGTTGCCATATAATCCAGCAGTCCCACTCCTGGGCAGATATTCAGACAAAAAAAAAGGTACATGCACCCCTATGTTCACAGCAGTACTATTACAATAGCCAAGAAATGGAAACAACCTAAATGTCCATAGACAGATGAATGGATAAAGAAGATGTGGTATATACATACAATAGAATATTAGCCATAAAAAAAATAAAATAATGCCATTTGCAGCAAATGGATGGACCTAGAGGTAATCATACTAAGTGACATAAGCCAGACAGAGAAAGATAAATACCATATGATATCACTTATATGTGGAACCTAAAATATGACACACATGAACATATCTACAAAACAGAAACGGACTCACAGACATAGAGAACAGACTTGTGATTGCCAGGGGCAAGAGGGGGTGAGGTGGGAAGGATTGGGAATTTGGGATTATCAGACGAAAACTATTATATATAGGATGGATAAACAACAGGTCCTACTATATAGCACAAGAAACTATATTCAATATCCTGTGATAAACCGTAACGGAAAATAATGGGAAAAAGAATATATATAGACATATATATATATGTGTGTGTGTGTGTGTGTGTGTGTGTATATGTATGTATAACTGAATCACTTTGCTGTACAGCAGAAATTAACACAACATTGTAAATCAACTATACTTCAATAAGATTAAAAACAATTTTTTTAAATTTCATATATATGGTATGAGATAGGAGTCCAATTTCATTCTTTTTGTATAGAAATCCAGTTGTCCCCAGCACCATATGTTGAAGAGGTATATAGTAAGCTGAGGCAATCGTGGAGTTCCCTTTGTTTATTTCTCATCTCTCAGAAATCACTGTACTTCATTGCCTGATATCCAATGTCTTAAAAATCACTGTTTACTATATTTTGTCTGGTTTCTTAATTGTTTCAGTTGGTATGATGGTTTTTAGTGTCAACTTGACTGGGCCACAGGGTGCCCAGACATTTGATCAAAAATTTTCTGGCTGTGTCTGTGAGGGTGTTTCTGAATGAGATTACATTTGAATCAGTAGACTGAGTAAAGCAGATTGCCCTCCCTAATGTGGGTGGGCCTCATCCAATTAAACTAAGACCTAAAAAAGCTGAGTAAGAAGGAAACCTCCTGCCAGACAGCTGAGCTGAGTCATCAGTCTTTTCCTGCCTTCTGACATTGGTTCTTCGTGGGTCCCAGGCCTTCAGATTCAAACTGGAACTGCATCATAGGCTCTCCTTGGTCTCCAAATTGCTATTTGGAGAACTTGGGAGTACTCAGCCTCCGTAACTATGTGACCCAATTCCTTATAATAAGTACACACATGCGCACACACACACCCCATTGGTTCTGTTTCTCTGGAGAACCTGAATAATACAAGGGAGTTGATAAATCTGCTCCTAGTTACTTCATCTTGGCCAGAAGCATAAGTCTAATGTGCTTTTAAGACAATACTTCATGACAGGACAAGCAATTACAAGAATAGTTATGAATAATTTTTTTACTTTTCTGCAAGATTCATACTT